ATAATAATTTATGTGATTCCCAAAATTATAATATGGCAATAGAAAAATTAAATAAAACCGCCATACAAAAAAATTAGCAAATTTCTAATATTTTAAAAACTAAATCTTATAAAATAACTATAAATCACCTTCTTAAATCAATAGTGTGGAAATACGAAAATTCTAAGAACGATAAATTACAAAAAAGATTAAAGCAAACATTGGAAAATAAATCATTGTTTAGGTTTTGAGATACTGATAGTGATTTTTCCAATAAATGTAGTTTTGCATTACAATAAGATAAATAAAATAATTAATATTTTTTTGCCATTGTAATCATTATGTGATTTATTTATTTAGTTATGTTTAGGAGGCATGTGCAAGTACAAAGGTTAGCGGCTCCTTATTCAATTTCATTACATATCCAGTAAACATATATCAAAAAAAATTTTAAGTTGTTTCTGGTGAGACTGTGCTTTTAAGAATTAGTTCTGATGTGCATCGTATATGTTTATAGGGGCTGTGTTGTATAAATATGTCTTTAGTAATTTTTTAAGTAAAAACTTCTTTAGGCGCATTTTGCACATTTTTGTGGAGAATGAATTAGATTGATCCGTCAGATTATTATTCCTTCTGCAATAACGCTCGGGTAAAGTCAGTTAGAGTTGAATAGTTAAAATATTTTTACATATGAATTAAAATATTTTAGAAACTATAAATCGGGCCTGCATACTGTAAGCGAGGAAATTGTTCAGCATTTCATTCCTTCTGTAATAGACTATAATTCAAAATTGTAACTCGACATTAGAGATGCGAAAAATAAAAAAATAGTGTTGAAATGATAAGATTAGTCGAACGTATGGATTAAAAGATTTCAGGTACTATAAACTGCATCTGTATACTGTAAGCGAGAAAAATGTCCAGCATTTCACCTACTTTGTAATGAGCTATTACTTATAATATATGTTTAATATTATTTACTCTTGAATTCTTCCTAGATATGACGAGTTGAATCAAACGTATCGAGAAAATATTAAAGATGGGTAAAATTGATAGTATAAAGTATCACTTCTTTTTCAGGTTTTAGTGAAAAAGTTGCTTTAACATGCCAGCCATATGTCTGTATTAAATATGTAATTTCATTTTCGCAAGCCTTTTTTATTCAGAGCTACTAAACTAACTAACACGCGTTTGCAAAATTTGGTTATTTTGACACAATCATTATTGTGTGATTATTGATTTGTGATTATTTTATGATGTTAAATATCATAATTGTATTATATTTGTAATGTGTTCAATATTTATCTATTTTTCAGTACTATTGACAATTTTAGACCATTATATATTTTTTAATTTCAAAACTTTCATATGTCACATTTTATATATAGCTAAGTGAAATAAAAAAAAAAGGAGTATTAAGATCTGCATGGTATAATTTTAAGCCCATTTAATTTTCCATCGATAAAACGAGTTTAATAAAAAATATTAACGCCGTTTTTCAGAAAACTGTAGAAATATAAAAAAGTTCCTGTAACATCCTAGACGCAAACATACCTTGGTTCGTGATTTTAGTTTTATACGATTTTCATTTTTTGTGTGATAATATTAATAAATAAATAAAGAAGTGTTCTTGAGCAGTTTATAGTTCAAATATATCATATTTATATTTACTGACAATAAGAGACCTTTGTTTACGGCTAATAAACAAAATTAAATGTACTTTTGTAAAGCAACGGAACTTTGAAAATTCGGTATTCAAGCCATGTAAAACTATTGAAATGAGATTAAAACCTACATGGTATAAAATACAATTAAATTTGACACCGATATGAAGAATTTCATCAAAATAGTATTAATTTAATCAATGTTGTATTTAGAAAATTTATTTTATTAATTTAGACAATTTTACATTTTGAATCAATGTCTTTGACTGACATTTGACAGAAGAATAACATGGGACCCACTTATCAACAAAAAAAAGAAAATCGTTAAACCTTAGACTACGACAACTGTTATACTCACTACTCTCAAGAAGCTCAAAATTAAATCTAAAACTAAAGCTGAACATCTACAATTACCTACTTAAGCCCATCTACGCTTTATAAATTTACGGGACAGCCAAAACGACCCACACACGAAAACTACAAACCTTTCAGTAAAAAATTTCCGGGACCATAACTAAAGCTCCATGGTACGTCACAAACATTACTTTACTTAGAAACCTTTAAATTCCAAAAGTTAACGATCATATACGGACACACTACAAACGATTTCACAATAACTTACATACTGACAAACTTATTCATAGCATGGATGCGTTTAACACACCCGAAAACATACTTAGGAGGTTCAAAAGGATCCAGCTCGTTTAAGGAGCTCGTAGGAGGGATTTTCTCGTTTAAAAGATCATAAATACATGACAGGAAGAGATGCCGCTGGGCACTCCTCTCCATCACGCCGATCAAGCCACTACCTGTACACTTGCCGACAGCAGACCCGCAAATTGTCAATGCTTATGACGGGTGTGGGTGAAGAAAAAAAAAAAATGAATCAAGTACTGTGATCAAACATAACATTAATATCATTCATAACATCAAATATGGTTCATACCAAATTAATATACAATATAATTTAATGATTATTTTTCAAGACATATTTGAGAGATATTAAATAAATAACAATATAAATATGCTTAACAACGTAACATTTGTGTTTTTAATTTTTTTTTTTTGTCGCTAATCGTTCTTAAATATAATTTATTGATTTTGTTTGTTTGATTTCCCAGTGTTTTTCCAATTTCTTTGTGTTCTTTGTACGGAGCTATGTCTTTTGAGTCCAATTTGTTGTTTAGTATATTTTTGACATTGGAATATATGTTCTAAAGTTAAACTAGTTTTGTCACATGTTTGACATTTGTTCGATTTAGGCCAAGAAGTAGGTGGAAATATGTTAGCTTTGTGTGTCCAATTCTCAGCCTATGATAATGCTAGAAATTTCCTATGATGTTAGGTGTTTGGGAGGCAACTAGTCTCCTAATGTTGTCTTTCGATTCAACGATAAATGTTTTTAAATAACTTATATCGAGGTATAACAAATTTGATGCAGTGACTAAAAAAATGATCAGTCACAAAATAGTTACATGCTCCACATACTTCAGTCACATATTTGCAGTCATCGATTTCTGAGAAATACAAACAAAAACAATTTGAAAACTTGGTTCATTTATGATTTCACAATTAATTCATGAATCTTATCGAAATCACTTTTAGATTCTTCCAAGAAATAATAATTATCAAAGTGCAAAATGTTGACACCATTCAGGTTTGGAATTCATGATACCAGGAAAAAAATATATCAAAATATCATAAAAAAGTTTTCAAAAACGATTATTTTTTTACACTGATAAGACTGTATTTATTAATAATTTGGCATAAAATTGAACATGCTTCACAAGACATGGATTACATTACAATCCGAGTACAAGGAAATTGCTGGAGCTCACACCGCAACTACACGATTCTCATTTGTTATTCATGACTGAAATGTCAACTGACCACATTTCATTTATTTATTCCTTTTGTGAGTTTATTTAAAAATAAATAAATAAATAATTATTGTTTCGTTTCGTCTTCAAAATATTACTCCGTATTAGATCTAAAGCATTTTACAGGAATCAGAATATTCTGATTTCCAAAAAAAAAACATTCATATTTAATGGTTAAATATATTTCTTTGTTTTTGCTTTATTATTTAAATATTTTTTCTCACCAATTTATAGTATAATTTAGCAGGATCTACTATTGTTTTTTATATTCTTTTTTTTTGGAGATAATAACCATTCAAATAAGTTGATCACAATAAATAGTAAAATTTATTTGATTCTTTAGTTTTATTCATTTTGTTAAACAAATAGAATATAATAAATAAGAGTTGTTCAAAAAAATAGAGCTTGAACTGATAATGATCGAAAAATATATAAAAAAGACGAACAATTTTTTTACAGTAATAGAAAAAAAAAAGCAAAAGATATTTCGAGACAATTGCTGACAAAATGAAACAAATAATGAATATATGCGTTTCTAGAATATTAAATTATATATCAAACCAACAAAAATACCAAATAATAAACACCGCCAAAAACACGAAGGAAAATAGAAAAAAAGCTAACGAAGTTAAACCGGTTTTAACAAATACAATAGAATACAATTTAAACTGGAACAATTATGCCACAATTGGATTCAAAATAGAAAACACATGAAAGAAAAAAATGTTATATTCGACAACAAAAAACTACTGTGTGTCCTTTATACTGCACGATAGAAGTTTAAACATCAACATGCCCAGACTAATAATATGAAAATTTTTTTTATTTTCACAAAGAGCAATAGTAACATATACATTTATAATGATGTATAAATTACTGTAGTAAACTTTGCTCTAATTGATCGTTAATCGTATCATACTCTAAAAATGATACAAAAAACTGAAAATATTAGTCCACAATTCATTTCAATATGAAAAAAATTAAAAAGTAATAACACCACCGCATTGGTATCATATAAAAAAAAAATGCAACAGAATTACAACGATAACAGGCCACACTTGAAAGACGAGAATTGTAGAGAAGATTCTGACAATAGTGTATAATGAATATTTTGGTGATGGGAAAAATAGTTACCTAACATAAAAATTTACATTTAAAGCAGTAAATTTACCTGATGAAGAAGCAGTTATGTTCTCGTCTCTTTGCAAGGAATTATATTAAGAACTCTTATGAAAAAAATTATAATTATAATGTATCTAGAGAACTTTATATTGCACTTTCAAAAATAAATTACATTTGAAAAAATTGTGGTACAGTTTCAACCACATCAAAAATGAATGATATTTGAGCATGTATTAGGTCAGAACTGAATATTAAAATAAGGATAAAGGATTCCCCGCAAAAAAAAAAAAAAAAAAAGGATTTCCAAACGACATCTGTGATTCCAAGATATCCAATCGCCAACTGACCCTGGACCCTCCCCTCCTACCGACGTCCTTATATAACCCGCGATCTTTCCTCAGGATCTAATGTGTACAAGATGTCCGTATGGGTTAGTATAGTGATCGCTGCACTCCTGATTGTACCTCATTCGGAAGGGAGGCTGCTGGAGAGCATCTTACGCCCGTTCATGAGGACAACCACAACCACAGAACTGTCTACGACACCTTTCGCAACCACGGTACCCAACCTAACGACAACCATAGAGGTAGAGGTTACGAGCGAGGGGACGACGAAGAAGCCCAAGAAGAAAGGAGGAGTAACTGTACCTCCGGATGGTGGAAAGGCAGCCATAGCAGCACCTTCGTCTTCGTGTCCTGCAGGATTCAAGAAGGACAAAGGAGGAACATGCCGGCCTTCTGTCTGAACTTTTGGAGAGTAACTTCAAGACTGTAATTAATTAAATAATAATTGTTTTTTTACTATATTTTTATTTTATGTATAATACTAAACAATAATTTTTATAACGAAATACGAACTTTTGTGAATAAAACATATTTAAAACGCTTACTTTTTTTTTTTAATTCATCTTTACCATAAGTTACAAGATTACCTCATTTTAGAAAATACATATAAATTAATAACGATTTAAATAAGAACGAAGCAGTGAACTCAATAAATACATAGATATTTTTTAGAATTTATAGCAATATATCATAGGTAAACAAATATTAAAATGTTGCATTCTCAAATCAAAATAATCAAACCAGATATATGTTTAACTTTTTTGATAGTAATTGTTTGGTTAAAATAGTCTTCGATTTTTTAGTTATTTCAAGTGAGATTCATGTATACCATAAGAAGCAAGATTAACTTTTTTGTATGTATATTATTAAAACTAATAATAATTTAATTAAAAACTAAAAGTATTTTAATACCAAATTAGAACATAGGTGAACATTAATAAATAATATTATATGTTTATCTAAAATTATTTTTCATCTAAAAAGGTATTAATCTTATTCTAACTTTCACTTCTTTTCTTATATGAATTAATCAAAAAACTAAGCTCCGGAATTTTGTTTTTAGAATTTACAAGAATATTTCATGAATACAAAACTATTGCCATATTGCATTTTTGATCTAAAAATAATCAAACAACATATATTTTTTACTTTGTTGATAGTTATTGGCTTGTTAAAGTAGGTGAAAGTTCTGTATTATTTGCATGGAGATATTGCCTATTTCAAGTGACAATTTTACCAACAAAATAAAACACACACACAAATATATATATATACCTGTTAAAAATGAACAAACAGATTGAAAAATTGTTATCATCGATGAGGAAAAGGTAATCAAGGTATAAGATATGCCCGAAGAATATGAAGAGAATGAATCGGAATAGGCTAAAAAAGACAATGTTCGATAAAGCAATAGGACTGAACAACATAAAAGGTTATCCTGAACTAATAAAAGAAGAAATGAAAAAAATGGGCGTGAAGGAAAAAGACTACCACGATAGGGATAAATTCTGGAAAATTGTGAAAAATAAAACGGTTCTTGTAGCGGATAAGAAGAAGCAAAAAAGTAATAAATGGACTGAGGAAAGAAAGGAGGAGATGGTAGAAAAAATGAAGCCCTAGAGATCTACGTCCATCGTTGGCCTGTATCGCTATAAATAAATAAATAAATTATTGAAGTATGCCTAATTATTTATATGGATTTGAACTTATATTCTTTGGTAATGGATAAAATCGTTGCAATGCAATCTGCTAACATTTTAAAAATTATTACTACAGTTTTTCTAATAAACAATTAAAAATTAATTTTATGATTATAATAATAATATTCAAACTTTTTTTATGAATTTTATTAAACAATTTCAAAGTTACCAATTACTCGCTTTTTACTAAGAACAATATTGTATTGAAAAAAAAAAGTAAAATAAACAAAACAAGGTTAGTTGTTCACACATTTTTAAATTTAAGGTTTTTGTTTCAATTGAATTTAAATCTTACAATGTAATTTGATGACACAGTTGAGCTTCCGAAATTGTTATGTGAATAAAATAAAAAGGTTTTACTGTATTGTTTTTTTAATATTTTGTTCGTTCTATGATAAAAATCATACTAGGCAAATAAACAAATGCCAATCTAGCACAAGAAGACGTGTGCGTGCAATGTAAAGTAGATTAAATCAGTTAGCTCTAAAGAAAGTAATACATAAATTCCCTTTCTCTCTTATACATAACATACATCGCAAATGTTAGTGCAAAAGGTCGTGTGTTACAATTTTTCATTCTTATTCTATTTGTGCTGAAGGTGGTATTTTGTAGTCTGCAACTGCTAAAAGTAGTCTACTACTATGGAAATCAGTATAGGGAAATAAGATATGAAATTTAATAATAAATCATAAAGAAAAAATCAGTTGCTCTCTTGCAAAAAAACAACTCATTTTTGACTCATTATTTTATTTTTTGCAATAACAGTAGCGATATATATTATTTATATACTTAAAGCTCGATATGTTTTATCTAATGCATTCCAGAAGAATGAAAGTTCTTAGACACAACAAAGACAGAATAATGATTTTCATATTGAATACTTAATAGTTGACCGTTGTATTATTAAGGAAGGGGATGGTCCGGGGTGTGGGCATTAATAGACTAAATAGTGGCAAAACTATTTTATTAAAAGCCAACTGAACAGTTCTAAGTGAAACTTTTTGCTAAATACACCTTTCTGAAGAAGACCTACAAATTCCGATCGAAACGTTGACTTTTAATAAAATAGTTTTGCCACTATTTAGTCTGTTTATGACCGCCACTCCTTATAAGAACCTTAATAATGATTTTTTTTTTTTTTTGATTCAGTGGATGCTAATTTTGTTTTAGATGAACAATGCACATAAACTGATATGGTACACTGGCTGAATGAAGATTTGAATGGTTGGGATAGTATTCTTTCAAAATTCTTTAGTAGTATAGCATAAAATTTACCAAGGACCTCTGAAAAGATAGTGTATTCCAGGATAGACCGCATTAGAAGGTGTAAAGGATATGTGTAAAGGAAAGAGAAAAGTTGAAGGCAGAAGTTGAAAAAAACAGGGGCTGATATATGCACCTTTGCACATTGTTGTGCAAAAAATAAGAAAAAATAGAAAATAACTGATCAAAAATCATAAAATCTATCAGACAGGCCTTTAAGTTTTTAATTTCAACTTATATTAAAAAAAATTTTTTGTTATCTTTAAAGGATGCAATCAGGATTCAATTTGATTTACATAAATATTATATATTTATAGCTTTCCAAGAATGAGTAATAATAATTAGGCCAATAGAAAACATACAAATCAAACTGATAACGTATAATCTTAATCAGTGAACCTCATTCTTTTTGTCTGAGATAAAATTTGAATGATGAAATGGATAACATTAAAAATATAAACAGAAAAAAATTACTAACAATTTTTTTTTTTAACATTAACCGATTTTTTAAAGTTCAATAACAGACAAATTATCTTTGAGTAAATACAATATTTTATCTGACAACATGGCCGTAGCTGAAACGCTTATTACTTCCTTACAGATCGTGCGTAATATACCATCTGTTTGCTCACACTCAACACCTCGTTGTCAGTTAATTTACAATGACATTGGTACTTGTACTGCGAATCGTGACGGATCGTTAATTGCAAAGCGAAATCCGGTTTTATCTTGATTTTAATCGGCTTGCAGGATTTTGTCTCAATGGATTTGGCTCAAACCAATAACTTTGCCATGTTTTATTTTCTATTTAATTTAATAAAGTTTAATATTAACTAAAACCAATAGGGTCAGTTTCTAAACTCAGCGCTGAGCTCAACGACGCCATCGGAAATCAATTAGACCGTTCCTATAAACTAATCAAGTGGAAACCAATGATGGAATTTAGCGTGTCTTTTTATAGGTTTTTAACAACCTTTTCCTCTCAACTTTGTCATTTCGTTTAAATTAAATTTAGCCATCAAATTTATATATAAATGATATTCATTTTCCTCTGGTAAATATTAACGAAAATATTAAATAACTTTTCCTCCACGTCTATAAAAAAAAAAAAAAATACAGGCTTAGTGAGAGAGCTGCTTATAAATTACAGACTAAATCTAAATCAATAACCAAATCAAGAAATAACAACTATGAGGTTATACACACACATATATATATTTTACCTAATTTATATATATATATATATATATATATATATATATATATATATATATATATATATATATATATATAAGTGCATGTGTGTGTGTGTGTGTGTGTTTATAGAGTTTAGTTTCTATCTCTATTCCTATACCACTACAACCCATGGAGGGTTTTGTATTCACTACTTTGAAAGAATTCACTATTGTTTCCTGGTCAACCATCGTGGAAAGAGGAGATTTCTCTGAGATCACGCTCAACCACCAGGATTTTTCACTTTATTAATCTTCCTCGACCTAAAACTTGCCCTCCTATTTACCTCGATCATTGAAGGTATCCACTGTATGTAGGGTTAGTATCCTAAACCCGAGTCAACCAATGGATGTTATAATAGAATAAATAAACCTTACTCACTGAGCTAACTGCTAACTGCCCCGTTTACTTTCTTTCTATATTTATTTCTGTTTTGAAATTCCACAATTTTGTAGGTAATTATTTTTAAGCTGTTACAGGAGTTTCAAATTTTAACCTCATTTAACTTCATTTCAGCATCATCTGACAAAAGTAATGGTTGGTGCAAACATTGGAAAATTCGACTCAACCAAGAAAAATCCCAACATATTGCATTCACTCCTCGTCATAAAACTTTCCTTCTATTTTCCTAGACAGTCTCCGGATTCCTCAAAGAGATAATGTACTATATCTTGGATTAAAATTTGACAGAACAATGACATGCGGTCTGCATATCAACCAAAAAAGAAAAACGTTAAAGTTCCCACTACGAATATTATACTCATTTCTTTCACGACGCTAAAAATTACACCTAAAACAGAAATTTTATACTTATATTTGTTAATTTAAGCTCATATGGATCTAAGTTTCACAGATGCACGGTGCAACCAAAAAGACCCACAAACGAAAACTTCGAACTTTTCAGGTAAAAACATTAATGAATATAACTAAAGTTCCATGGTACGTCAAAACACAAACTTTACATAAAGACCTTCACAAGCCGACAGCTAACAACCACATACAAAACATTCCATGATAATTTAGATGGTATATTAACACACCTCAAGATATAGCTACAATCAACATTCCCGAAAACACGATTAGAAGACTCATAAGAAGCTGGATGTGGGATCTCCTCGCTTGAAAATTATACTAAAATCAAGATATAAAGGGATGCCGCTGGGTACTCCTGTCCCTCTCTCCGATATGCTATTAATAGTATTTTTTCTGATAGCAGATTCACTGATTGTCAGTATTTCTTACAGGTGTTGGTAAAGAAATTAAGTTAAAAAAAAAGGTTTAAACAAATGTTTAGAGCTTTTGAATAGAAGCTTTATTGGAGGAATCTCTTCAGTTAATAGATGATTTTTACTTGTTACATAATATATGATTCATACAAAGAACATTCTTAACCATCTACATAGCATTTAAGTTAAAAAGTTCATTATTTATTTCATAAGTAAACACAATGTTGTTTTCAAATTTTACCAACCTCAACAGACGTCCACTTGACCAGGTGATTAATACAAATAATCTTAAAATTCCAACAATTTTGACAAGAAAAATATTTTAATTATATTTACAAATAAATCTAATAATTGTTATCAGATTTCTAATAACCTTTTTTATGAAATCACTGCTGTGAATAACAGAATCACTGGTGTATTACAATGTATGATTGAATCGTAACACATTAATAAAAATAATTTTGTAAAACGTAAGAAAAAAATTAAAACAAATCTTACTATGTAGACTTTATTAATTTTATAATTGAAACTACTGTAAGTGCAATAGGGCGTATGTAAACTTTTTTTTTTTTTGACAGAGTAACCTAAAATCTGATTATTTTTTATGATTTATTAGTGTAATTTCATATTTATTTCGCTCTCCTATTATCCATAGTAGTAGACAACTTATTGCGTTTGCGCATTACAAAATGTCATCTTTGGCACAAATCAAAGATGTAAAATTATTACATATGATCTTTTGCTCAATCAGTAGGGATGTTTTCTCACGTTCTACACGACCGAATTGTGTGCGGTAGCCATTTTGTTGAACGATGATGAACAGTCTCGTTGGTTTAAGAATTCATCTAACGTTAAATGGATGAAAGAAAAAAGAAAAGGTTTTTTTTTCAACATTTGATGGATGACTCTTTAACTTTGAAGATGAGCTGTTTTAAAGAAATATATAAATTAAAGAAAATATATTAAGAAATGCATAAGCGAAATTAAGAGATTGAATTCGATAAAACCGTTTAATTAATTTCCCCTTAGCATGTAATGTAATTGGCAACACCATTGAATTAAAATCTGTTAGTTATTTAAACTAAATAAGTAATAATTACTTTTAAAAAAATCAAAGATTTTTTTTTTCTGCAGTTTAAATTTTTCCTTCAGGTTCGGTACCAGAATCAATTTTTTTCTTGTGGTTTTAAATTTCGGTCA